AAAAATAATTCTGACACAAAATCCCAGGACACTTCCAATATGTATTTCAAATATAAAACACACTTTAGATTGAAATCTGTGTTCTATGTACATTTATTTTCAATACTGCTCAGCTCTAGTAGTTGCTGTTTTCCTGAATTCTGAATAAAATGGGGTTTCTATATTGTGTCCAGTGTTAAAATGATTGAGAGCTTTGGGATTCCCTTGCCTATAATCTCTAGGAAAAAATCAAGATAATTTACATTAGTACAAAGAAATCTTAACCTTCCTTTGTACAGTCTATATATGGATTTATATTACTACTAGCCTGATACCCGCGCTTCGCTATGGTATTTAAGTTCTGTAAATCCAGTTATAATACTGATGATGTGAAGTTTGAAATGTAACATTTGTTGTAGGAATTCTAACAGAGAAGATTGTAGTGTAAAAAATGAAGCGAGACATACATATTTGTTTTTTTCCTCTCTACTGAAGGACCACTCTGTAGACCACGTTAGTGGTTCTGCCCTCAAGTGCGAGGATCACCAGGCTGCTTGGTGAGCTCACTCTGGAGCAAGCACCATTTAACAAGCAGTCGTCTGTTAAGTCAACTCCTGAGGTTTTACCTCAGAACTCTGAGCTACACAGGCCCCGGGCACACGGGCCGGCTAAAACGCGGCTACTCAGAGTCGCTCCAAACTTGAGACGCCGCGGCGGGATCCCATGGATCCCCTAGCCGCGGCGCAGCACTCCCCGGCACGATCAGATGCCGGGGAGGAAAAGTCCGAGGGGAGGGGGGAGGCTGCCGAACTGCGCATGCTCGGGCATGCGCAGTACGGCTGGGGGCCGGGATGCGGCAGCGCAAGGACGCGCCGCCGATCCCACAGCCCTGCCTGCGCCGCACCAATGGATGCAACCACCTAGAGAGGTGGTTGTTTTTTGCGGCGCAGTTTGGGCCGTTGGGACGGATCAGGGACGGAGACGGCACGCTCGCCAGATGTTGAGGTGAGATCGCGCCTGTTTGCTCCGCCCCAGTTCCGTCCCGCTCCCGGCCCAAATGGGCTCGTATGAACGGGGCCACAGTTGACCAA